CGCCCCCACCGGTTTCTCCTCCGATGAGCCGTACCCCACCTCCACCAGCTACTCTCCCGCCCAGCCCTACTCCTACCCCAGGCTATCCCACCCCCACTCCCACCACACCGGCGCCCCCACCGGCTTCTACCCCTACCCCGCCTCCACCTGCCATCGGGCTCAAGGTCGGCTACTACGAGGACAAGTGCCCTGACGCGGAGAAGATCGTGCTGGACGCCGTGCGCAACGTCACCGCCGGCGTGAAGGCCGGGCTCATCCGCCTCTTCTTCCACGACTGCTTTGTCCAGGTACACATACATACATACGCAAGTGAAGTTTTAGAGATTGATATACGCCTAGTTGTGCACTCCACGACTGAGAAGGCAACTATGGTATCGTTGCATGCATGCATTTATGTTACTTGGGCGTGCTTTTCAGGGTTGCGATGCCTCCGTCCTGCTGAACAATGTCTCTGGCAAGCCTGAACCGGAGATGCTCGGTATCCCAAACTTGAGCCTGCGTGGCTTCGAAGTGATAGAGGCGGCCAAGAAGAAGATCGAGGAAAAATGTCCGGGAGTCGTCTCCTGCACCGACATCGTTGCCTTTGCAGGTCGTGACGCCAGCAAGTTACTCAGCGGCTACAAAATAAACTTCAACATGCCGGCCGGCCGCTACGATGGATTGGTGTCCCTCAAAGACAAGACCCTCCCCAACCTGCCCCACCCTTCGCCAACCTCACTACCCTCACACAAATGTTCGCCCAGAAGGGACTCAGCCAAACCGACATGGTTGCGCTTTCCGGCGCGCACAGCATCGGCCGCTCGCACTGCTCCTCCTTCCGCGACCGTCTCCAGCCACCGGCCAACGACAACTCCACCACGTAGATGGATGCCACGTATGCTGGGAAGCTGACCCAGGACTGCCCCGCCGGGAGTGATCCCACGGTGCCGCAGGACTACAAGATCCCCGACGTGCTGGACAGCCTGTACTACAGGGACGTGATGGATCACAAAGTGCTCTTCACCTCCGACGCGACGATCATGACGTCACCAAAGACCAAGGAGCTGGTGGAAAAGTACACTTGGTGGTTCATCGGAGATTTCTTGTGGTACATACATTTCGAGGATGCCATGGTGAAGATGGGCAATATCGAGGTGAAGAACAACACCAACGGCCAGATCAGGAAGAAGTGCGGGTTTGTCAACGAGCCCTATACCGGTTAATGATCTCTTGGACGGCAGAGACTGTTCAGTTCATGCTTTTTGAGTGTGCCTTCTGGTTTCCTTTCTAGTGTATTTTCCACTAAGCTTTTCCCTCGCTGGTTCATCTCATTCATTTGTGTTGTGTAATCCTTATTATGCCACTACAGTCAACTACCGGCAATACTTTATATTGAGAGTGATAAATCATTTTTTGTTTATCATTATTTAGTATTGGGAATACTTTTTTTCAAAACCCCACCATATATTAATTAAGTTAGAATGTTAATACAATCATTCATTACAGCAGCTGCCACAGGCCGGAACGCTATTAGTAAGAACACCGTCAGACTTATTATTAAAACTAAACTTAGCTATCTCGTGGGACACCGTATTAGCTTTCCTGCTAATTTTGGAGATCTTCACATTCGCCAGCATCTTAGAAATACTGAGAGCTTCCTTCTTTAGGTCAACAAGTGGAGATCTGTCAAACCTGTCATTTTCTAGAACACCCGCCACAAAAGAGCAGTCGGTTTCTAAAATGATGGGTTTGTGAAGGGTGATACCAATATACAATCCGGAGATTGTCGTTCTAAGTTCCGCTTCTTCAACACTAAAGCAGGCTCCAATATAATCCCAAGAGAAAATGACTACTTCTCCAGTATGATTTCTAACAACCACCCCCACACTCGCGGCGTTGATTCACTCCAGAAAACTTGCATCAACGTTAATCTTAAATAAATCCTCGTCAGGAGGTTGCCAACTAACATCCTTACTCTCCACCTTATTCGAATCCTGGATGCCCTCCCCCAGTTCCTTGCCTTTGTTACTAATCACTCCCTGCGTATTTGTGTGACAAGATGAAAAGGAAGCCCAATAATTATGTACAAAATTCACAGAGGCTGAGATGGATTCTTTACCTTTCGCAAAAATCAAATCATTCCTCAAATGCCAGGCTCTCCATAATATGAATATAGTTTGTTCACGCGTTGTCAGACTTAATTGATCCAGTAAAAGCAGAAACCAATCTGGCCCAGTATTTTTTAAAAGCACTTCGGCAGGGAAGTTCCACACCTTTCTCAAAGCCAAAGGATAGCACGTGCCTTTGGGCAGCTCACCAATGCATGAAAAGTGCACTCATCTTCGACGCCACAAATTGTGCACGTTCTCAGAATAGCTTGGTGGTGTTTAACCCTGTTAACTTGAACCGCCAAACTATTAGTAGCCACCCGCCAAGCAAATATTCTAATCTTCTGGGGGACATTAGCTTTTCAGATAATATTCCGGATCCTCCTTTCCCCATTTACTGCTCCACTAGAATTCCCCAAATTTACCTTCGAGTCCATGAGGTTCTGAGCAAGCCTGTACGCACTCTTAACTGAGAACATGCCACTTTTCTCATGATGCCAAGCAACAAAATCTCCCTCACCCAAATTCAGCGTGCGCAACTTTAAAATTTCTTCTGCACTATGAGGCTGAAATAGGTGCCTGATCAGATTCTCATCCCACGTCCTAGTATCTGACCTGAATAACTCGGACACCCATTTTATTCTGGTTCTGTTTTTCTTGGCAGTAATTTTTAGGCCAGACTCCCTAGGAATCCAATTGTTTCTCCATATGTTTATACTGGTCCCATCAACAACTCTCCAGATCACATCTTGTTTCAATAATTCTAGGCCACGCATAATACCTTGCCACGGAAGTGATGACGATTGCGGGAAGACAGTATCAATAAGATGTCCATGCGAATAATATTTTGCTTTCATCACCTTAGCACATAAAGATTCCGGAAAAACCAATAAGCGCCATGCTTATTTGACTAGAAGCGCTTGATTAAATAGCCTGAGGTCACGAAAGCCCCTACCCCCTTCACCCGGGAATACTTTGAATTTGAGTTGGAGTGTGTGGAAGTTATTAATTACGATCCAAAGCAAATTGAAAATGGATGTTTAAAGTTGCGGTCCCATATGCCACTATCACTCTAGTTACCGAATGGTAATTAAGAATCTCCCATCGACGCAGCTACAGTGGTCTCCATTTACCCCCTATTGCATCGATCCGGGAAGGAGCGAGGTAAGAGCTATCACCACCGATCTCCGCTTCCCACTACCATACCGACAGTAATAACCTTATCCAAAAAAAGGCATATGTTGGATGGTCGATTTTACCCAACATCAAAAAGATTATAAACACGAACATATAAAGTGGGTATCAAATTCTATTATGAAACGACCATAAACATACCAGGGTTCCTCCATATCCCCAAGACCTAGGGAAACTACTCGCACATCGAGGGTTCAAACATCGCAGGATGAATCATGATCAACATGATGGTAGCGTTAGAACAATACACAAGTGGATCCGCATCGGTTAATGTATTACGACGGGATTTAGATGGGATGCATGGCGATGATGGTGAGGGATGGTGTGTTGATTCCCTCTCGATGCGGTGATCCAGCGGCGGAGTCCTTGGATCAATTCCCCCTCCGGAGTCCTTACGGAGGCTAGGGTTCTTCATTTTGGGTGTGTTTCTCAATGCGTTGCGACTCTCCTCTCAGATCCGTTTGCACGGCGGTAAAGTAGTTGATCAGGAATAAGCGTCGGCGACTGGTAGACCCCTGGTACGAGCCCATGTGCTCGTACCAGATGCCGTCGATCTCCCTGGAGCCTCTGCATCAGTTTTTTCTTCTCCCATTTTTTTTTGCTTCTTTATAGTGATATTTTATCACATTGCTTAGCGTGATTTATCTCCATAAGTTGGCCTTCTTTTTCTAGACTCAAAAAAGTACCGTACATAACATCTTTATGAAAACATACAGAACGCAATAAAATCTGAAGAATCCTATTCTACAGAATGAAACAAAAGGTATACATTGTCACATAAATTGGACTCATCATTGCCCTCCGCCTGGATGTCCCTGACGTTATCATCAGGGGGTCCCTGCGCTTGTCTTCGTGCTCTAGCCACCCATTCCGTGCTGGTCGTGGCCCCAGCCATGACGTACATGCCTTTCTAGCCTTGCCCGCGGCTCTTCCGCACAGCGCCAGCGGCATTTTTTAAATTTATTTTAAATGGTTTTTCCAAGTGCCTTTGCCTTTACCGAGTGTAACACTCAGCAAACCGGTCATTTCCAGCCATTTGTATCGTCTGTTATTTATTTCTCATCAAGTTTAAATCTTTGCCAAGTACCTAATGAACACTCAGCGAATTCAGCTTTGTCTTCATGGCGTATGCCGAGACAGGTTTGTTGGGTGTAACACTTGGCAGAGCCTTTGCCGAGTGTGATTTGGTCTTCGGCGAGTATTTCTTATACTCAACAAACAGAGCATGCTAAAAAAAATAGAGCGTTAGCTATAGGTAGCTTGACACGCATGCCGTGTACAACACATAAACCAACCTATTATAAGGATTTCTAACACACACGAACACATCTTAATATGCCATGTGCGACTAAGCACATATCCGCATGTAGAAACTCAACTTAATTGTTGCACATCCATCTTCACTTTATCCTTTATCTTCTTGCCGGGACACACAGAAAAACTCTGACACAATAATACAATAGACACCACTCGTTAGTTATTTTAGTCACCACTTCTTAATCAAACAACCTCGCGTCATCATTCATGCATACTTCAGCTAGCTGAAGAATACCTTGCCCCTTCTTTGTTTGTTGACGTGGAGTAGGACACTCTCGAGCATAGTATTCATACTCCTAAGTCCTAACAGTTATATCAACGAACTTTAGATATGTCAAACTTGTGGTACTTGTGCTTATCTCAGTCTCTAGTATGCGAGAATGCTAGTTGCTCTTCTTCCCTGTCGCGTTCATATCCGGTCAACATCAACTCGTAAGTCTTCAACCACCTGATAAACATCACCGACATCACTGTCACATCACCCACAATTTAATAGTACCAATGATCGGTAGAAATTTGTGACTAACGTCTCATTAATAATGGAGGTTAGCTTCACTGCGAGTACATTAACCCATTCTGATTCTTTCATGCTGACCCTCTCAAACCCTCTCCTTAGATATTGTATACACATTTTTTTATAGGATCATATCCACTTTGCATATCTTTGAGAGCCTTCAAATCTTGCTTCGTCGTCTTCTTTGATGTAGTCAGAAAACTTGCCTCGGACACGCCTTTGGCAATGGTAGAGAACACTTATTGGTCCTTTATTTTGCTGAATATGTCGTTGCCTTCACCGTTGCCCCGACCCAATATGCACATCTTAAGATCGTCATCTTGCAGCCTGCACCCCATAATAGTGTCCTTTGAGAATGGGAAAGACTCTGACCCTGCCTGGTGTAAACAGGTTGACACCGAAGTTTAACTATAACATTTTCCATTAATTTCAAATTATGAAGGGCCATAGCTAACATAATAGTGTTTAGTTTGGACCCAATCAGTAACTAACGCTTTTTGCGAAAGAAGAATAGACTAAAAGGGGTAGTTTTTGGGTAATCAATTAAAAGTGGTATGTATTTTGAACCCTAGCCCAAAATATGGAAATTGTTTTTCCAATTACTCATACTAAATTTCATCATTTTTGGATTTGACATGAAGACTCGTGTGGTGCCTCCAATTAGTAAACAAAATATATATCCCTTCGGTGCAGCCATGCGAAGGTTCTTATCTCATTTTGTTATTCCCTGCAAAACAACAAAATAACTGAACAATGTAACTGTGACTGCATAATGTGCTAATTAGTAGAATCTAAAACCGGGCGCCTCAAACCCGCCTCATATGCTCGGGCGGGTGCCCGGCACTGTCCGGTCACTTTTTTTGACCCAGACGTATCCAACTCAAATATGGGGCGGATATGGGGGCGTCCGGGCACACCCGCCACGTCGGACTCGACAGCCCGACCCCACCCAAAATTGCACCAAATCCACCCCCAGCACTAGTGTAGAGCCGGGCTATAGCACCGGTTCGTAAGACTCTTTAGTGTCGGTTCTGTAACCGGCACTAAAGTGTGGGGACTAAAGGTCCCCCTTTAGTCCCGGTTCAACACG